GGCTCTGGGCGCGCTAACGGCGGTCGGCTGAGGGATTTGGGGGCGCCGCGTACTGTAGTCGGCTCCAGCCTCGGACGGTGGCAAGCGGTGGGGACCGTGGAGCACGTGCACCAGCGGGGGCTCGAGGCAGAGGCGGCTTGAGGTGGGCTCTCACCCTAGTTGATTGCTATGTAGCCTCAGGCAGTTCGTTTTCTTCTCTGGGCTTTAGTTTTTTCTTAGCTGTCAAAGAGGTACTTGGACTGTGGTCGTGATCACCGAGGCCCTTCTTTCTCTTGGCCACCCCCTGCCCCAAGACAGTGCCTGTCACTGACTGTTTGGAGTCCGGCCGCCTTCTTTGACTCAAGTCAGGACACAACCATTCCGTCCTTCGGACTTGTCTTGGCTCAGTGTTCAAATTCAGGTTTTGACTGTTATTCATTATCTTCCTTGGTTATTGTGAGGACTGCAAGGGATGCACGTGAGAGCGTGGGAATTGGTATTTGAAACCTCTTCTTTGAAGTAGCCCACAAGCTAACTTGTATTTAGGGAGTAATGGAGTAAGGACTGTTTTGAAAGGCTCTCTTATTGGTTCACCCATTTAAAAGCAGTGCATACCTACTAAGTGTCTGTTGCTGATGTTAAGTGCTGGGAATTTAGAGGTGAATAAGACGGTGTCATTGCTTGTAGAAACACATAAAGCCATTAAAGGGGACAGGTATTTGTTACTTATTATTCAACTAGTACTTAAGACCTGCTATGTGCTAGGAATAGTTCTGAGCTCTGGTAATAAAATGAACAATCGAAAATCCCTACCCCAAAGGAGATTACATTCTAGCAGAGGTTAGGGGAATAGACAAAATATATACAGTAGTGTGTCATATAGCGATAAATAACGTAGAGAAAAATAAAGCAAAGGTCAAAGGGGAATGAGGGAGGCACAATTGCTCTTTTAAATAGGGTGACCGGAGAAGGCCTCACTGAGCAGAGAACTAAAGTGAGGTATCCAGCCAATCTATCTTGGAGAAGAGCATTTCAGGCTCTGGAAATAGTATAAAGGCAGGGAATGCTTGCTGATGGTACTAAAAAGGGTGTGTATGGAGGGACAGATTGCACAGGAAATCATAGTCTATGAAAAACACTCGCATTTATTCTGAGTGAAATTTATGGGCAGCAAGGGAGATTAGAGAAGATTTCTACTTTAACAGGATGACTGTGCTTTTTTATTAGTATTAAGTTTACTGGTACATTTTAGGTATATAGTAGTTATATTCATCATTAGGATCATGTACCTTTACATGATGTATCTTGGTTCTTATTTTTTCCCCATTCCCTTGCCCACCCTTCACGCCCTCCACCTTTCCCTATTTACAAAGATTTTGCTTCCATGTTTTCCCTTTTCTCATATTTTTTGTTTTCCCTGCTTTCTTTTCCCATAACCCTCCCACTTCCCCTACTACTGTAGACATTTTCTTCCTATTTCACATTATCTATTATACCTATTAGTCCTTATTTACATTTTCAGTATCTCACACCAGAGAAACTATTCAATATTTACACACTTGTGTCCTACTTATTTCACTTAAGAGTATGGCCTCAATGTGCATCCACTTAACTATAAATGTCTCTAGTTTCTTGTTCTTTATGGCTGAGTAGTACTCCATTTTGTGAAAAAAAACATCTTTATCCAGTCCCCAGTTGATGGGCAATTGGGCTGTTTCCAACTTTTAGCTATTACAAACTGTGCTGAATGAGTGCTTGTTAAATTGAAAGGAAGCAAAAGTGAGAAACCAGAAAGATCAAATATAGGCTTTTTCATTAATCCGGATTAGTAGAGGTGGAGGTGGCAAATTGTTGCATTAAAATAAGGTTTGAAGGTGAATCCAATAGGATTTGCTAATGGTTTGGATATCAGTCTTGAGAGAAAAGGAGTCAATGATGACTCCCAAGATGTTAAACCTGAGCACTTATTGAGATGGGAAAGACTAAGAAGAACAGTTTTGGTGGAGAGATGTTAAAATTTTGATTTGGGACGTGTGAAATTTTAGCGTACTGCTAGATGTTCAAGAATAGATGTCTATCTTGATAGCATTTACAGAAATGAGCTCAAAATGGCAAATATTTAGATAAATGACTTAAATATAAGAACTACAACTACTAAACTCTTAAAAAACATATATCATCATGAGATTTGGCTGATTCTTAGATGTGAAACTAAAAGCACATGCAATAAAATGCAAAATTGTTAAGTTGAACATCCAAAATTAAACTTTTGGGTATCAAAAAACATTACCAAAAAGTGGAGTGAAAAGGTATTTGAAAATAATGCAACTAATGGGGGCCCGTTTCTGTATCCAAAATATATAAAGAACTTTTACAGTTCAGCAAAAAGACAACTCAGAAAATGGATAAAGTATTCCAAAGAAGAGATACAAATGGCCAATAAGTATAAAAGTTCAACACACTCATTATTAGGGAAATTCAAATCAAAACCACAATAGTTAGCAGTTAAGCGTAACATTACCATATCATCCACCAGTTCCATTTCTAGGAATGTATCCAAAAGATTTGCAAACTGTTACTCAAATAAAAATAAATGTACACTACATGTTCTCAGCATCACAGCTCACAACAGTCAAAAGATAGAAACAATCCAAATGTCTGTCAGTACATGAATGGATAAACAATGTATGTGAACAAACAGTATTATTAGGAAATAAAAAGGAATCACATACTGAAACATGCTACAAAATGGATGAACTTCAAACATGCTAAACAAAAGAAGTCAGATACAAAAGATTATATTTTGTATGATTCCCCATTTACAGTATATGAAACATCCGGAATAGGTTAGTCCATAGAGACAGAAAGATTGGTGGTTGCCAGGACCTGGAGGAAAGGAGCAAGGAACAACTGATTAGTAGATCCAGGTCATTTCTATCCATAGGCAGTTGAACATTCTTTTTATTATACTCAGGGAGGTATGGTCTCTTGGGACTTACACCTCAGATTTGGAAGGAATTTTTAGATCTAGTTCAGTCCCCCTTGAAAGCTGGAATTTCCTCAATTGCAGTGGCTTTTAAACTTTTGGGGAGTCATTGTCCCCTTGGAGAATCTTAAGAGCCTTTACTAAACCATCCTTATTGAGATATAATTCACATGCCATATAATTCACCCATTTAAAGTGTACATTTCAGTGGTTTTTGATGTTACATTATTTCTTAAATTTTGATAATATATAACAAAATTAGTCATTTTAACCATTTACAATATTTATTTTTGTCATGCTAGAGATTAAACTCAGAGCCTTGAGCATGCTGGGCAGCACGCTCTGCCACGGAGCTACACCCCAGCCCCACTTTAACCATTTTTAAGTGCACAGTTCAGTGGCATTAGTTATATTAATAACATTGTGCACTTATCACCACTATTTTGAAATCTTTTTCACTATACCAAGCAAAAACTCTAATCATGAAGCAGTAATTTCCCATGTCCCTGTCCATAGTTTCTTGTAAACTTTCAGTCTGTTACTTAATTTGCCTGTTCTTAGGCATCTCACATAAATGGAATCACACAATATTTGGCTTTTATGTCTACCTTTTTTTGTTGTTGTTTTGAGACAGGATCTCACTATATAATTCAGCCTGGCCTTGAACTCACTATGTAGCACACACTGGCCTCAAACTGGTCAGTCCTCCTGCCTCAGTCTCCCAAGTGGTGGGATTACAGGCATTTACCACCACATCCAACTGGCTTATTTAATGTAATATCTTCAAGATAACTTTTTATTCAAACCTGATCTCATACTACATGCTTTTAAGTTCTATATTTGACAGTTTTCTTTTCACTGTACCCAGAGTTATTTATATAAAGTAGTCATTGCAGAGGTGTTTGCTGAATTAATAACAGTATTTTAAAAGTTATTAATTATGACTTTTCCTATAAATGGGTTATAGGAAAGGATGATAAAGGATAATATTGCCATTGTTGAAAAGTTAACTGCCACTGTGTTTTGTTTTGTTTTGTTTGAGACAGGGTCTCGCTTTGTAGTTCAGGCTGGCCTTGAACTCACTGTGTAGCCCAGGTTGGCCTCGAACTCACAGCGATCCTCCTGCCTCAGCATCCTGAATGCTGGGATTACTGGCATGCGCCACCAAGCCCAGCTACCATTGTTAACTAATAGTAAAGATAGGTATATTTAATGCTATTAAACAGTACATTTTCCATTCATCATTATTTCTGAATTCCATGCACACTTTTAGAAACAGCTGTTTAGAAGTAATTAAAAATGTAAGAGTATAATCACTAAAGGACACTGGAATTTATATACCATAATAGTTCTTACTGACTTAGAAGAAAGGTCATTAATGTGTTTTTTAATGAAATAATATAAATCAGAGTGGTGGATTACTTGAAATTAAAGTTAAAAATCCACTTCCAAACAAAACAAAAAAAACTGCCTGAATCTTGATTGCGCAGTGCTATTTGCCTAATGCAAAGATTTGGCAAGAAACCTGGAAGTAGCTCTCAGCTGCGCTCATCCGCAAACTAGGTGAAAGTACTGGTGGAGCTAAATGAACTGCTCACACAAGAGTGAGTTGGGCAGTTGAAGCTCTTTCTCCTCAGGCATTTAGCCTTAAGTCACCATAAGCTTGTGAAGTTTTCCAGGGATCTTTTTACAATTTAATCAAGGCTGATTAAGAGCTATTCTTTACTTTGTAAGAGGTAAAGTGGTGGTGATAGTTTTCTGGAGACATGGGATAGTCCCTATTTAGTCCACTGAGGCTGCTGTAACAAAATTTCTTAGACTGGGTAATTTATAAACAACAAAAATTCAAAACAAAATACCTTGGATTGGATAATTTATAAATAATAGTAATTTCTCACAGTTCTGTATGTTGGGAAGTCCAAGGTCAAGACCACAGCAGATTTGGTGTCTGATGTGGGCTTGGCTCTCGGCTTCCTAGATGGCTCCTTGTTGTGTCCTCACCTGGCAGAAAAAGACAAGCTCTCTTGGGCCTCTTTTGTTAAAAAAAAGTCGGGGGACCCATTCACAAAGCATTGCCTTTGTGACCTAATCATAGCCACCCTTCTAGTACTGTTGCACCAAGGATTAAGTTTTGCCGTGTGAATTTGGGGAGGAAAAGAGGATAGAGACATTCAGACCATAGCAGTCCCTAAGACCCTTTCAGGGAGTCTGCAGTATCAAACTGTCTGCATGATAACACTGATACTGTTTCACTTTTCCATATCCATCCTCTCAGGAGTGTTCAATGGAGTTTGGGGACAAGGTACACAACATGATGGCATCATTGCTTGTCTATATGTATGTTTTCTAGAATTTTAAAAATATGATTATACAAAACTAGGTTTTTGGTAGATGTTTTCTCAGAAATAAATGAAAGTGAGCCTGCCATTTCAAGGAAAACTGACATTCTAGCATTCAAGTGAAGAGTTAGAATTTTTGAAAATTTATGTGGGCCATAAACTTGACAGCTCTCAAGCACTCTTCTGATGAGATCATTGATGATATTGATACAATTCTTTTACTTTGTATAATAAAAATGTGTTATCCTTTATATGGTCTGTATAACTCTCTAAACTAGTATTTTCCAAATGACCAAATTGTGATTTTAGAGACATTCATAGATAAAAGACCTATTCAAGTTGTAAGATACAGATTTCAAGTGTTACATTCAAAAGCATATGAACTGAATTAGGACCATACTGAATCTGTAAATCATTTTGAGGAAAATTGATTTGTTTAGAATTCATTATCCCAACCCATGAACTTGTGTATCTCTTCACTTATGTCTCCTTTTAAAAAATGTATTAGGAAAAAAATGTATTAGAGGTCTTTAACTAGATTTAATCTTACATATTTGTTGTAAAAAGGCCTGGGTATAATTAATTGTGCCTTCTGTCATACCTGAACTGTCCTCATTGACTAGTATCTGAATTGCTTTTGGTATCAGAAACCTGTTTCAGCCTATTTTAGTGATAATATATACAGTACTTTTCTGTGTGCAAGGTCTCCAGAGATTAAGAATTACAAAACAAACAATGATAGCAAGATACGAAATTATTTTACAGTGAGAGTTTTTATATTTAGTACTTGCATTTTGAAACAGGAAATGTTCGTAATCAAGACACAACTGTGCAAAAAATTGTGGACAACTTAGGCATCATTACTGAGTTATACTTCTTGGTTGAATGAAGTGCTGCACAATTTAGTTGTGTGATTGTACTTTAGGTTTGAAAGCAGTATGTTGTGATTTTACATATTTAGAGTGGAGGGAATGAAGTGTCAGTGTGTGGGGGTGGTAGTGTTAAGATACAAGAAATGTTATTATGTAATTATAACATGAACATGTTTTCAAATTTGTGACACTTTTTATCCATGGAAGAATTTTTATTCTTAGAAACTTGGAATGTGGGAGAGATCTAGTTGTGGCCTTTAGGAAATTACTTATCATTCCTGTTCCTTGGTGTCACTTGCATATAAGAGGAATAATACTTTGGAAAGGACTTAGTATCTAGTTTATATTAAGTGCTTAGTAAGCATTATTATTGTTTTTCCTAAGTGAAATAAATACGTCACACATGTGTAAATACCGAATAGTTTCTCTGGTGTGAATAAACTATAATAGTACATAAAATCCTAATGAGAAAATATTTTTCTGCAAATCTTTAAGTACCGAGAGTGTATGGACTATCTTGTTCATATCTTCAACATTTTCTGTATATTAAATTGTGTAGACACAATCCGTACATTTCTGGAACTTGTAGTGTAGTTTGTGTGTATCATTGTAGATAATAAAGCATGTTCATAATAAGGCAAATGAGTACAGCCTTCATGCTTCTGCAAGAAATTCTAGTTATTTATAGAACTTCTACCTGCAAATTTTCAGCTATGTGTTGTTTCATTTGCTTAAGTAGAAATAGTTATGCTGTTGACCTTATGGTTTGTTCAACTTTTTACTTGTATTGCTTACGGTTGAGTCTTCTCTGGTACTAGGAGGTTCCAGGGCTTGGAAAACCAAGATTTAAATTTTTTTCTGCTGGTTTTGGATATGACTTTCAGCAAGTTACTTGTTATGTCTTTAATGAAGAGGTTATACTAAGTGATTTTTAAGGTCTGTCATTTTGCTATTAAGCAACTTCTTCAAATTGTGTTTGAGGAGAGAGGAGCAGGAATCCATATATATTTGCCTTAAAACCAAATGCTAAAATTTAAATGTTAAGTTCATATTTCATAATTTATTTTTGGTTTGCTTGTAGATGCCAGAAGTGGGTGGAGAATTGTAGAAGAGCAGACTTAGAAGATAAAACACCTGATCAACTAAATAAACATTATCGGTTGTGTGCCAAACACTTCGAGACCTCTATGATCTGTAGAACTGTAAGTAATAGAAGAGTTTGTTACTTTGGTTGGGAATATAATGTAAATATTTATTAATTGGAAGTTGTTTCCATGTCTCACCACTGTAAGATGAAAAGAAATCATCTAAATAGTATTTATTTTGTTCCTAAAATGCTGAATTTTTTCTTTTACTTCCCCCTATTTCTGATGCTTCATTCCTGCTCACCAGTGATAACTACATTTAAGTTTCTAGAAAATTCTATATGAATATAACAGTATATGTTTAAGATAATATTGGTGTTTTTATTTGGAGCATTTTCTCTAGAGTTTTTTTATGAGTGATATCTTTTTTCATCTAGGAATGAAGCCTTTTGTTTTCATGTTTTTCAATGTACTCTTACAGCCAACATTTAATTTTTATGTGCTACATGCAACAACAAACCAGTACAGGTAATGTGAAAAAAATTTCCATCAGTAATTTACAGTTTCATGATCAGACTTTTCCCTTTCTGGGCCCCAGTTTCTAATGAGCAAATTAGATCAGATAATTTCTGAGATTTTGAGATTTTTAACCATCTAAGATTCTATTATTGCTGTGATTCATGAAAGGCACAAATAGGGCAGATTTGGTTGAAATGAAGCAAATGTGAAACATTTTAATAACTAGTAAGGAACCAAGTTTTGTTAAATATAGTGTTCTTATTTAGATACAACTAATCTATCATCTCAGATATTGAAGTAGACAAATTTGATATGAAGGTACACTATCTATTGTTATGCAGCAATTTATTTTGATATTTTTTTCAGATACATTTTGCAGAGGCATCAGAAAACTAAAGAATGATTGGGTTATTTTATTTCTCAAAATTAATTGAAGCAGATACTTGTGAAGTCATTGGGAGGTGAGCCAATTCCGGTTCAACAATTTAATTACAAATATTTGAGGGATATTTTTTTGCCTTGCTTTGTTAAAGAGTAGTAATGATCAACCAAAATAAATTTCATATGTTTAAAAGGCAAATCACTTTTATGTTCTTGACCTTAAGTAAAAATATCCCAAATTATTATTCTAAATAATAAGCCATATGCATTTTTCATTTTTATCTCAGTAATAAATACAGTGTTTTAATTGGATACTTCCACCCAAATTAATGTGAAAAATTTGAAATCTAGTTTACTCTTGTATTCTTGTTTAAACAGAGGATAGAAAGAAAAGATGAGTTAGTTATTTTTTAAATTTTCAAATGATTCTTAAATCTTGAATAAATCAACACATATGAAAAGTATGTGAAGATTAAATATCAAAAAAGATAAGGTGTTAAAAACTGAATTATCTGATATCTAGATGCAGTATTTAATAAAGTTTTTGGCTTCCTTAGTTTGGCATTTAAGATTTCAGTAAACATTCATGACTAGTTCAACCAAAGCCTAATATTTTGTGATCTTCGATGCTAGAATGAGTACTGTTTGCTCAAACCTTATATCAGCAGTTAAAGATTAAATCTTGATGCTGAGTTAAAATTATTCTTATGAAAATTGGATATACACTTTTTGGTGCATATGCTTAAAATTATTTATAAAATATCATGTGTTTTTATTTATATTCTATTTTTTATCTTTGCTTAATTTTCCATAAAACAGCAAATTAGGATATTTTTTAAGTTCCTTAGAATGGTTTATCTCTCTCCTTGCTTAATAATTGCTAAGATGTGAAGAGTTGACTATGTGTTTGTGTATGTTTGTTTATTTTTGACACTTTGGCTCAGTGGGAGATGGGAAGCTTAGAATATCATAGAAAGTGCTTCCTTTAGTAATTGTGTCTCTAACCAACCTCTGATTAAAGGTAGTAGTAGACCCAGAATCACTAGCCCAGCACTAGAAGCTGAGTGTCATTGAGAAAGATTTTAGCTAGGGATGGTGGTGCATGCCTGTAATCCCAGCACTCTGGGAGGCTGAGACAAGAGGATGACAAGTTTAGGTGGAGTCTGGGCCACTTAATGACTTAGTGACAGCCTGTCTCAAAATTGTAAAAAATTTTAAAGTAGAGGAGTGGAGTTAGGGCTGTGCTCAGTGTAAAGGCCTTGCCTTAGATTTAATCCCTAGTATCTCAAAAAAAAAAAAAGAAAGAAAGAAAGAAAGAAAGAAATCAGAATTCCTTCTTTGTGTTTTCTATGATGCGTGGAATTGAACTAGAAAATGCTAAGTCTGAATAGACCTTCTTCCCTAGTTAACAACTCTTTGGATAAAACTCAAGTGTTCTTTGTAGTTATGTTTTTCCCTTCATATTTTCCCAGCCTCCCCTTCCTGGGTGAAAAAAGTAAGAGGAGATGCTATTTTTGTTTGGCATATTCTTTGGGCGTGCTTTAATAGCTTTGAAATGATCACTGCTCCTAAAATAACATCTTTTAAATGAAGTGTGTTTTGCTTTTTTATTGCAACTTCAAGAAGAAATGAGTCACTGTTTCTGTGGACTAGCTGGGGGGATATAATACCAGTTAATCATCTGTTATTCTCTTAAAACTTCTTCTGACACTCTCTGGGCTGGTTGTGAAAGATTGTTAGCATCTACTAGATATTGATCCAGTTTCTGGTTATGTTGGATTAGGTAAACAGGAAATAGGGTAGAAATGATCATCTTTCAATGATAAGATCATTAAAACTAAAGGGAATTTAGAAATACCTGGTTTAGTGTTTCTGAATGTAGGTATATCACTTGTGGTAAGAAATGATTTCAAGTGGCATATGAATCGATTTTATCTTAGCAATTTTGTATTACGTGTTAAAAATATAGCTATCCCATCAGAGATACTATTCGTATAGTTTTTTGGCATAAGACAATGATAACTAAAACAAATAGGTTGTATTAAATTACATAAGCCGGTATAACTGAAAGGGCAAGCATTATGATCATTAGTATGTAAATAATTTCATATTGGGAAATGTTGATTTAGTCAATATTTCATTTAGAAGAGGAAACTGGAGTCCAAAAAGAAAAACTAATTTACCTCGTGTCTATTAGTGAGTCATTGGTAGAGTTTGGACTAGTTCTTAGGTTTCTTTTGTCCAGTGCAATATTATTACTGCTGTGCCTTGATGTTTCTCAGTAACAAAAGTGGAGTGAACAGCAGGTAAGAAGGCCAGCATTGTTAATAGAACCCACAAGAGGGTAGGTTATTTGGGAGAGCTGTGGATCCTAAAGATTTGAGCTCAGCTGGGTGTGGTAGCACACACAATAATAATCCCAGCATTTGGGAGCCAGAAGCAAGAGGATCGCCATGAGTTCAAGGCCAGCCTGAACTATAGCGAGACCTTGTCTCAAAAAAAGAAAAAATAGAGAGCTTGTGGAAGGACAGATTAAGTTCCTGGGAGGCTGAATTAGAAATACATATGCAAAATTCAAAATATCTACCATCAGTTCATTTCCTATTAAAACTGCCATAAAGGCAAATGCAAAACAGTAGACTGACCTAAATTGAAGTCTGTGTAATTTAGAGCTACAGTTGAAAATGGACTGAAAAAATGATCAGTGTAGATTAGTTTTTCTGAAAGACCATCTCTGAATTAACACATTTTTCTTTTTCAGAGTCCTTATAGGACCGTTCTTCGAGATAATGCAATACCAACAATATTTGATCTTACCAGTCATTTGAACAATCCACATAGTAGACACAGAAAACGAATAAAAGAATTGGTATGTTTGTTCTTTTAAATTTCCCACTTCTTTATAATACTGTGAAATCCAGTATAGGTACATTTATGTTAAAAATTGATCCAAGTCTCTATTTCAAAGGTAGCATAATGGGAAGTAAATGCTGTGATTCTAAGTAGCTTGGGTATAAAATGGCTAGTCTGTTTTATTATTATTATTGAGGTTTTAAAGTCCTCCTCAAATTTAGCCAGTTAATATTCTTGTTTGGGCCAAAGCATGCTGTTGATTACAGGCTACTCACTCATTCCCTTCTTGGGACTGGATGGTAGTAGGTAGGGGAAGGGCTACCTTTACTTTGCTGGGCAGGAAAATGGAGCTGATGCATGGTTCCAGAATTCACAAAGAGATAAAAAGGGAAGTGTAGAAGTTGATATTATTGACAAACTTTAGAAAAAGGCTTAAAACCTTTGAATATGGCATAACTTACATATGTTTTTATATACCTTTGATACTGTTCAGTTCTGATGATGAAAACCTACCTATTTTTGGTTAACCTTAGGTGGAAACAAAATTAAATTACTCAGCATAACTTCTGTTCTCCTTACCACTGGCAACACCCTTATATTGTTTTAGTACTTTTTCTTCTTCATCCACTATTACAATTCACATTCTTTCTCTACCTATTGATAAACACAATAGTATATTTGGTATATATCAAATCAGTTTATCTGTTTTGTACTTTTTTAAAGATAACATTTATTAAGTTGCATTTTCTTCTGTTTACTTTTAATACTTAAATTTTGATTCATTTGGACTTTGGTATATGGTATCCAACAAGAATTTAACTTTGTTTATCTTTGTATAGAAAACTAGTTTTTCCAACATGGTTGGGTTAGTCAGCATCCCATGACTGTAACACATACTTGAGATAAATAAACTTAAAAAGAGAAAAGGTTTATTTCGCCTTGTGGTTTCAGAGGTTTCAGTCCATGGTCATATGTCTCTGCCTTTGATCCAGTATTGAAGCAGTACATCATAGTGCGGAGCACATAATTGAATAAAGCTGCTCACCTGTGACAGCTTTTTTGGGAAGCAAAAAGAGAGCAGCACAGGGTGGGGTTGAGGTTCCAGTATCCACCTCAAAAGCATGCCCTCAGTGACTTAATGATCCAAACCATAATAGTTAATTAGTTCATCCTCTTTTCCACTGGTATAAAATGCTACTTCTTTCATATACTGAGTTTAATGCAAGGCTGTTTCTGGGTCTATTCCATGGGATTATTCATCTGTTTACATCTGTACCACTCTTTACTGCCATGGCTTTGTAACTTGGCCTTCTTTTCTTTTCTTTTTTGTTCTGTTTTTTTTGAGACAAGGTTTTGCTTTGTAGTTCAGACTAGCCCTGAACTCACTATGTAGCCCAAGCTAGCCTCGAACTTTCGATGATCCTCCTGCCTCTGCCTCCCAAGTGCTAGTTTAACCTTACTTTTAAATAGTGATTGTTTAACTTTTCTTTTTCAAACCTTTCTTGGCTGTTTTTAAACCTTTATTCCTCCATGTTAATTGGAGAATACTTTTGTCAAGATCTTCTAGAATAGACATCTTTATTATATTAAGTAGTCTTACCCATTAATTTTTAAACTCAATAAAATAGCAGTGAAATAACTAATCATTCATAAAACTAAATACTGGTTCTTTGTAGAGAATGCTCTTAGGAACAAAAACCTTGGATTTTTGGTTTTGTTTGTTGTTGTTGTTGTAAATCATGTTAGTGGTAGTGCTGCTCCTGGGGATTGAAACCAGGGCTTTGCACATGCTAAGCTGAGCTACATACCAAGCACTTTGTTAAAGGATCAGGGTTAATTGAAACTCTTACAGGTGAATGTGTACTTTCTTCCTTAGATAACTTTGTAAATACATTATGGTTCTTTTTTTTTTTTTTTTTT